AGGTCGGCGGGTATCGAACCGGCACTGAGAGGCTGCGGACAGCTTCTCAGCGAGGAGCTCAAATGCCTGTGCCACCAGGGAGGCCCCAGGGCTAAACACTATTGAGAACATCATTGAGATACATATTTGATTCTATTAGTAGCTGAAGAAGCACAAAGAAGTTTCTGAGAGTCAGGCTATCCCCTTATATGCAGGATTTAGTGTTATTTAAATTATCATTCATGTGTTGCTTAAGGCATTTCAAGTGGCTTTGGATCATTGAATGGAATCATGTAAAATTAAAGTTTTAAATTATCCCTGGAAGCCTACAATTAGTGGGCATCCACAAGAAAGCCAGGCAACTAGAGTAAATCATTATTTCCTCTGAATCATTTTTCTCAAATTTCATGACATTGAAAAGACACAAATCATTTTATTATTGCATCTTAGCCCCAATTTGAATCCACTAAATTATCATCAATAATTTAACATATGCTTAATCAAATAAAATCATAATACATAATGTTATACATCACTAAAAATTATGACATAAACAAAAAGGACACCATTGTTACCCCTAATGATTTTTTATGGAGAATTGCCATCATATTCTATACATTCAAAGTGTGGACAAAATAAAGTTAAACATTTTCCTTTGAGTCATCATATAGACATTTGAATGTATTTGATCTCGTGATTGGGAGTCCACATTAGAAATAAAAAATGTAAGTCTATATTTGTTCATTCTTGTTAGTAGCTGTACCTATTCTAAGTTCTTTTCCTTAAAAAAAAAATGAAGTTCTCAAATTCAGGTCCCCAACTCTATTTTTTCATAGTGCTGAAGGTCTGTAGTGGGAAATCATTCTAAAGTTTCCCATATGTTTTAAAACTTTGTTATAAAATATGCCATATTTCTGAATATGCCATATCCAAATTATTTGACTTTTCAGGTGATGGTGGGGAGAGATAGGTGATAGAACAGCAAACAAAATGGAAAAATAGTGGAAAAAACAGCAAAAGCTAACATGGGGAATTCAATAGGACATTTTCTATAAATATCTCTTAGCTGGTCTTTCCAGAAAATTAGAGAAATCCTTGTTTATAGGTATGCAGTGTTTTCCCTCTGCACCTGCATGTACTCATTCACTTGTAGTTAAATAGAATGAACCTGTAAAATCTATTTAATAGAATTCTTTTTCCAATCCCTCTTTTTGTTTCACACATAGTGGACTCAATACAGTACTAAACTAAACTGATTAATGCCTTGTTCAAAAAAAAATTCCTTGATCTTCCATTGTTTCTTCAAGAACAATTCAAATTCAGCAGACACACATGTTGCATTCTGTTATATTAAGAAATTATTGTGTGTGTGTGTGTGTGCGCGTGTGCGTGCGCACATGCACACACGGGTATATTTGTAGGGAGGAGGGAAGAAAAAAGCATATTCCTTGAATAAATTGTAATGCCTCTGGGCATAGTAACTGTATATAACTGTATATAACTTATTTAGCTGTTATATGGACATTGTAAAACTCCACATCATCTCTAGCATATACCATTAAGCTTCCCAGCAAATAAAAACCAGAATGTATATTTGCTTGGGTGGCAAATGGTATCCTTTTTATATACTGTATCCTATTCTGATGTTATTACTTTTCACCTGGGTATCTCTATTTGATGTTCTATGCCCCTCCCTATTAATAGAAAATGATTTTTCATCATTCATCTATTATGAAATATAAGTCAGTTTTTCCATGTACTTGCAATTTAATCCTGTAGGGTAAATGGTTTTTCAGGCTTTTCTGCCCTCCTGCCATTAGAATTGCCTGCCTGATGGGGGCCTGCAGTTGCTGCATTGTTGCAAACTATCTTATTTACTTCTGTGGGCCATGGGAGGAGTATTGTGATAGTCACCAAGAGAAGCAGAAGCAAGAGAGAAGAGAGGCAGGAGAGAGAAGGGGAGAAAGAAGCCAGAGTAACACAGAGTGAAGACTTGCTGGGGGCTTGGAGGCCTACCAGCCTCCTGGCCCCCCGCCCCTGGCACCCCTGCCTGCCCTGTACCTGTTTGCCACACTACATGTACAGCTCAATAAAAGCTTGAGAAAGCCACTGAGGGCTCCAGGACTCTCCTTTACCCATCTGCTGGATCAGAAAACCTGCCCTGTGCCCATCCTACCCCTACAAATCCTTTAGTCATTATTGAGGATGAAAATTGTTGATTCCTCCATAGGGATTTCTGTTTAAAGTCATGCAGGAGATTGACAGAAAGGGTAAAAACATTCATTTACATCCTATGTTGTAGTAGGCTGGCAGGCATGCTAGTGTGGGATCACATTCATTCATAAAGGTAATTACACTGATACTTGCTACACCTTCTCAAACAACAGTGACTCCCAAATAAACATATTCATACAAACCCTTTAGCAAACATAGGATTTTCAAAGATGGGCCTGAATATTGTTTTATGAAAAGAAGAAATACAATGTACTCTATCTGTCAAAAATCATTGCACTAGACACTTTTATATGGTACTTCATTTAATCTCCAAATAACTCGGAGGAAAATACTTCTACCCCATTTTACATATTATAAAAATGAAGCTTAGAGGTGCTAAATATCTTGATCAAAGCCATAAGACTGTACTAGAGAGCTTGAATTTGATTTGAGGTAAATAGGACTCCAAACCCATTTTACTTTCTATATTATTACACTAAAATCCGGTGCCACTGAAAAACTAATCCTACAGCTCACACACCCTTACATCCAATAAATGAAGATGATGGTTGATAACCAGATAAGTCTATCAATCAGGGTCCAGGAAGAAAGAAATGAAGAAAAATTTAACAGTTTACACCAGTAAGGGCAATATTCTAAGGCTAGTTATGGAGGACATGGTTAACTCCAGCAGGCCTGAAGAAGTGAATTTCAGTCTAATGGAAACTAAAGAAAGTATTGGCAGAGGGAGGGAGGTGAGCAGAGGCAAGAGAAAAGTAGAGATAGCTGTCTGACAAGGCTGAGCCTCTTGCTCCAGGAATACAATCAGACCCCAGAAACCTAGGGTGGGGTGGGGTGAGAGTGTAGTCTTGCCAGCCTTTGTCAATGGCTGAATCCACTTGAAAGCCAGAGGCAAGGGAGGCTCAGGATATAGTTGGTCCCCATTATCCACTCTGGATAGAGGATGGTAGAAGATAGTAAGTCAGCAGAGCATTAGAAATGCATCTTCTCCATTCATATCCCTCAGGTCCACCTCCAATCTCTCTTACTATAAGTGGCAAAGGCTGGGGAAAAAATAAAACAAAAAACCTGTTTTCATTTTTTTGAATCCATGCAAATGCTTCTTCAATTTATTAATTTCTTTTCTTACTTAGCATTCCTAAGAATCAGCATTTGTTCTGGTTTACTGTATTACAGCCAAAGGAAGCTTGAAATATGTGTTAAGATCTTCCCTCAAATGGGAACATATTCTTTAAAGTTTTTTTTTTATTTTTTATTTTTGCTGTTTGTTAGCTTAGTTGAAGTATAGTTTACATGCAGAAAAACTCACCAATTTTAGCTATGCAATGTCATCAGTTTTTATAAAAGTATATACAGTCCTATAACTAAAAGTATAGTCTATAATAGAACATTTCTATCATTCTAAATATTCTTTAAGTCTTTAATCCCACTCAGCTAAATGTTTAGCATCATTTTTTCTTTCTTCTTCTTTTTTCACCAGAATTGGTTATAATTCCAAAGAATCTGTTGCACATAGTAGGTGCTATTACGATAACTATTTTGTTGGTTTGTTTCCCCATCCTCCTGAGTAATACAACTCTCCATATTGATTATTAACTAATTTCATATATATTAGAGCAAAAACTCATACTCTTGGCTGTACATTGAAATCACTTGGATCTATTAAACAACCTAGGTAACATATCATTCAAATACTTTGCCTAAGCTTAAGACTAAAACACTAATAATCTGCAGTTTTCCAGGTAATTCCAATATGCAATCTGAGAAGGTCAATGCCCTATGAATTAGAGCAGTGGCCTTCAATTCTGAGTACACAGAAGAATTCCTGAGGCAACTGCTTAAAAATACTAATATCTGATTTATAGAACTTGTTCATAAAAATTGACTACAGGGGAAAAAAAAAGACTTGGGTAACATATTTCTGAATGGTTGGTTCCAGTTAATCAAGATTTTATTATAGTTCTGGGTATGTTGTGGTGTTCAATAAATGTTAAATGGAGGTCCAAATCCCACAGTAGATTCAAGGAAAATAAAATATGCTCCCTCTTGGAAACAAACTGTTTGTGTATTTGAAATAATTTTCCTGGCAAACTATCACTTTCTGAAAATTGTCCTCCTAGGTAATTTACCTCAAATGGTAAACCTTGTATTTTAAGAGAATACCATATTTCAACTGTATTTTTCCACCATGATATTAGGCACATATATATATCTTACAGCACTGGCATAATTTTCTCCAAGGAAAAAAACAGGAAACAAGATAAAGAGACTGAAGATAAGATTTAAACCAGCCTCCCACTTGGAGTTGTAAATGATACTGTTGCATCTCTGGTCCTGGAAAGTACTGCTACTTTGTAAAAATAGAGTAATGTAAAACTTTCCTGTTGTTTAATGGTAAAATGTATACACCAAGGACACCTAGCTAGAATAGAAATAAACTCAGATATGGAGGTAGCAAAATATCTACATGTTCCTTTTCAGATTTCAGGAATTAGTAATTAAAATAATACAATTTTTTTAGCATATTGATGAACTATTTTGGCAAAAAGGGAGAGGTTTATTTAAGCAAATCTCCTGAACTTTATTGTTATAAGTAATCGTTATGTTGCCAGTGTCAGTGTGCAGTGTCAGCTCTAGCTGTTGTGTGTATTCCCAACTGAGGCTAGTGCAACAAACTTCTTTTTTTAAAGGAATGTTCTTCATTTAAAATAGAAAATAAAAAGTTTAAGTAATTTGATTTTCCCACTTTTTATTCAATTATTCTCTTTATTTCTTCTCCTTTTTAGGGCCACCTCAGAAAATAGTGTCACCAAAACAAGAACACGAAGATAGGAAACATGACAAAGTCACTGATAAAGGAAGTGAAAGTGGGACCTCCTGTAACGAGCTCTCCACCTCTAGTTGTGACAGTCACTCAGAGGCCAGCACTCCCCAGGACAACCCAGCCAATGCCCAGCAGGCAACAGCTCACCAACCTAACACCTTAACACTGGATCGCCCTTCCAAAAAAGCACCTGTGCAGTGGATGCCCCCACCAGACAAACGCAGGAACAGTGAACTCTTTCAGACACTCATCAGCAAGTCCCGGGAAACGAATCTTTCCAAAAAGAAAGTCTGTGAGAAGCTAAGTGTAGAAGAAGAAATGAAAAAGTGTATCCAAGATTTTAAAAAAATCCACATTCCCGATTATTTTCCAGAACGCAAACGCCAATGGCAGTCTGAACTGTTACAGAAGTATGGGTTATAGTAGTTATCCTATTCCTGCAGTATTTTAATGATGTTCAATGTTTACTACCATGTCACCACCTGGCTGTGTCCTAACAATGGTCAGTGTGATTCTTGCTGCTCTTCTTTTTTGTGAACAGTGGATGTGGGAAAGAATTTTCTTTCGTTGTTTTTTTGTTATTGTTTTTAGAAATATGATAAAAAATAAATGTTGATCAAAATGGTGTCTCTGATTCAAACTATTTTACAGGAGTGAAAGTAAAATATGCATGATCAAGAAGCTTAGAATACTGATTTTTGAACTGTGGTCAAATGGGTATGTTTGTCATTTTGTAACTCACGAAAAACAGATCATTTTATCACTCCAGCTAAAATGACAATATGGATGAAACAATGTGAAGTAAAAATTTATATGATGGTGTTAGGAACCAAATTCAAACCTGTTTAAATGTTAATGCAATAAAACAAGTATTATTTCTGCATGAGCACAATGTTACAAATAAATCACAAGACATAGGAAGATCTGTTTGTTGCTTGGAAAGAAAAAAAATATTCAAAAAATAAAGCAAAAGATAGTTTCAGGCAAAATCTAAATGTAAGCTGTCTAAGAGACTGAATTTTCTTTGTTCTGGATCTGTGATTTTTTTGTGTATGTATATGGTATAATGATGGTGTAAATATGCCTTATACTGTTGTGTTATGGCACTGACATTCACCTATTAATGCTAGTCCTGATTATTTCTGTGAAATGAGTCTTTACATCAGGCTGTGAAAATTGGTATAATGATGCTCTGAAAGATCTTATTATCATGTTAATCAAAAAATAGAGGGAAATGATAAAGAGCTTTATGTATTTATTAAAAAAGGAAAATACAGTAGAATTCCTTGATTTCTATTGACTCTTTTTAAAATATATTTGTTTGTTACATTGTCTTCCATTTTGCTTTAAAATCCCAAGCTAGAGAATGATATATTGAATCTTAATATTGACAAGTTAGAGTTTTAACATCAAAATGGAGATAAAGTCAGATCTAGATGGCCTTGGTATTGATTAATAAATTCTTAGTCTAAAGAGAAAAATATTTTATCTTAGAATGCACTAAATTTTATTCTAGCTGACAACCATAATAAAAGTCTCTCCAGAAACAATTGGGAAGTTACCAATTACAAATTAAGAGACAGAAATATCAATAGCAAGCTAAAAGGTCAGCCTGAATGACAAAAGGTATCTTGTTGGATGCATATGTAGAAATAAGCCTTCTTATCTTAAGCCACATGATTTTACGTCACCATCACCACAGAAAGAAATATATAATATCACAAAATTTTTCTATAGAATAAGCAGAGAGAGTAAAAATATCTTCAAGAATTATAGTGCTCAATCTCCTCTGTGGTTACTTGAAATAGAAGTTGAGTAACATTTGTGGTATCATTTCTTTCACGATAATATAAGAAGACAAGTATTATTAACTCAAAGTTTAAAAACATATCTTCATTTTTATATGTATTTTTAGATTTTTTTTTGTTCTACAATTTAAAAAAAATTAAGTCTGCAGTGGACTATTAAAGAAAACCCAGTTATATGATTCATCTGAATTAACCTATCAGGCTATGGATAAAGCTGCTCTCCAATTCTTCATTTCATTGTGGGAAGATTGGCAGCCCCAACATGGCTTTAACACACTGGTCAAAGGCAAGGAACATAGTAGGTAGGTTGCAACACTTCAAATCCCACCTTACCATTTAGCACTTGTGTGATCCTAGAGATAATAGGGATAATATTGCTGTCATGGAGATTGCAATGAGGTAACTTAAATATTTTCTACCACTCCTGGAACTGGACAAAAACCAGTAGTTATCTTACCAGTATTCAGGAATCAGGGCTCTCAGAGGAGGAATTTGCAATAGAAAATAAACTGTCCAGTAAGAATATTGGCCACTTAAAGATCAAGGTCACTTTCCATGCTGTCTCCCAAAACAAAAAGATAGGACAAAAACTACCCCAGCTTGCCACACTCCAATTTCCTTCCCGTGTCTTTCAGTTTTTCAATATAAGTGGAAGCCATTTGTCAATGGAACCTAGAGTATATAATTTAAAGAGTTGATCCCATGGTGATACACAACCCAGCAATGGAAGACAGAGAATAGACAGGAAAAAAATCTTGTACTCTGCCCTATTTTTTTTTCCAACAGAATTTCAAACAGTGTCACAATGACAAGGATTTGGTAAATAAGAATTATTTCAGAACTTATCTCTACACTTTAAGAGAATTGATACTAGCATAAATGTCTATAAAAATTAACATACATAACCAGGAAGTACAAATTACCAGCTATTGTACATGGGAATAAGCTTTTATTGGTTCAACTAAACCATTGTTTTCAGAAAAGAACAGAACAAGCTGCTCTAGTTCAGGTTGGGGAACAAGAGAGTTAGAAGGGAACTCTTCCATGAAGGAAGGAGAAGCCAAACTTTAAAGATGAGTTGATCTGAAACATGTATACAACGCTTTTCCAAAGAATTGGGAAATTAACTCTGTGGAATTAATGAAAATCAAAAGATTGGAAAGCAGACACTGAAGTTGAATATTGCCCTCAAAAGATTTGCCTTTTGTTTGGTAAATGATGAACACACAACTTGTGATTTCACTTGTTAGTTCAAGTGGGAACATATAGAAATGTTGAAAAAAAGTCAATTGTGAGATTTTCAATCTTTGGGGAAAAAGTAATAAACATACTTTTTTCCTCTTCTTCCCACTAAGCACAACAAAAATCCTAGACACTACACAAACACACTTTAAAAGACGCTAAAAGGCTGATAGAAGAAAGACTAGTAAGGGATATTGACTTTACCACCTGAAGTCCATAATTTAGATTATTGTTCACTCTTGATGTTGTGTAGTCCATGGGTTAGGGAGAAAGTATAACCATGGATCCATTATTAAGATGTCATATAAATTATTTTCACCGCCTCCCAAATCCTCTATGTTCTGCTTATTCATCCCTCTCCTACATCCTAGCAATCAGTCTCTTTTTATTGTCTGTAGTTTTGACTATACAGAACGTTATATAGTTGGAATCATAAAGTATACACCCTTTTCAGATTGACTTCTTTTACTTAGGGGCAGTGTTGCAAGAGTTGAGAGCAGGGGTTGCAAGGTTTCTGGAGGCTTGCCTCCACACACATGGAACATCACTTCCCCTGCATTCTTTTTGTCAAAGTAAATCATCTTAAAATCAAGGTATCTGGAAATACACAGCCACTTCATGGGGGGAACGACAAAGAATGTGTGACGATTAGTTATCTATAGATCCAACTATCCTTTGCAGATGAACACCTAGAAGCAAACTCTACACACCAATTAATAGTATTTTGTTAAGACTCTTTCCCTTTTTCAAGATGACTACTACATTTTACATTCCTACAAGCAACCTATGATGGCTCAAACTCCATATCCTCAACCACACTTGTTACTGACTGTCCTTGTTATTATAGCCATTTTGGTAGGTGTAGAATGGTATGTATTTCATTGTGGGTTTTTGTTTTTTTTTTTAATAGAGGCATGTTTTATTTATTTATTTATTTGTTTGTTTGTTTGTTTTATACATGCACTGGGTACAGTCAGAAGTGCGGGAGGGTGAGAGAATTCACCAGAGCCAGAGCAGGGAGCAGAGCAGGCAGAAGGACCGAAGGACACTGCTGAGGGGAGCAGCGGGCGGCAGGAGAGGTCTGCGCGCCATGTGGGGCCCTCCTCTGGTGGCCGGGGAGCAGCCAGGGATCGAACTGGAGCGGCAGAGGCTGTGGGCAGCTTCGCAACCCAGTGCTCAACTGCTGCGCCACCGGGGAGGCCCTCATTGTGGTTTTGATTTGCATTTCCCTAATGGCTAATGATATTGAGAACTTTTTTTTTTTTTAATGAGCTTAATGGCTCTATGGGAGTCTTTTTGGAAAAATGCATTTTCAAATGCTTTGCTTGTTTGAAATTGGATTATTTTTCTTTTTGTTACTAAGTTGAATAGTTTTTTAATACATATTGAATATTAGACTCATAAGATAAAGGATTTGCAAATATATTTTAAATGGTTTGACCATAAGTGTGTGTGTGCATGTTAGGGCATGCTTTCAATACTCAGACTATTACTCCATTTGATCTTCATTTACTGTGCCAGAAAGTCAGTCAGCAATGTGAGTGTAAGCTGAGAAGCTCTCTCCCAGGGTTGAACACCATTCTAGGATTGCACAGTCGTAAAAATACATATGGCCTTGTAGGTTCTCAGAAATAGGTTGGAGCTTTTCAAAGTACCCTATGACTTTGTCAGTCCCCAGTTTTCCCTTTTATTTGTTTTGGTCGGTTTTTTTCATCTCAGGCAGATGTGATGATAAAAAAATTGCCACTGATTATTTTTAACAACACCCTCAAGAAAAACTGCTCATACTGTGAGAAGTCTCATTCAGGTCCAATAAAGCAAGCCAATGAGATTTTCCAGGAAACCATGGGAACTGAAATTTTAAGGAAGTTCAGCACTATTTCATTCCCTCCAGAAGATACTAGACTTTGATTGTCACTGTCATTGTGGGCTCTTTGTTTTCAAGGCTACCACAGAACTAGGAGAAAAGGACCTGGGATGCAAAGATGTAAAAATGCTACAAAACTGACTTTTCTTACTGAAATTCATTAAAATATTGAATGAAGACTTCCCAAATTATTACTAGCTTTTGGTTAATTTCCAGTGTTTTAAAAGAGTTGATTTTGACCATTTTTGCTGTTGTTCTCATTGCTTTAATGGAGAGGATTTTTGAGGTTCCTATCCACTTTTGCTCTTCCAGTGCTTTTTGAAATGGATGTAATCTGTGTTTGTCCTTTCCTGAGGAATTGTTTTTTCACCAATAGGAAATCACATATTTGCTATGTTCAGAAAATTTGTGCTGATCCAATGGTATTATGCCAATTTCATTGGAACAGGTTTTATTCATTGTCTTCTTAGAAACTCCAGTTCAATTTTAATATAATTTTACTCTTATAGAACAGAGAACACAAGAACAATCACTTTTCTCTTAGTCGTATTTTTGTTTCTTTATTTTTTTTTTAAGATTTATTTTATTTATGCAAGTGCTGGGGTACAGGCCAGATGCGAGGGAGGGTGAGAGGATTCACCAGAGACAGAGTGCAGAGCAGAACAGGCAGATGGATGAAATGCTCTGCTGAGGAGATGTCTGCTCACCATGTGGGTTGCTCTGAGTCCGGTGGGTGTTGAATTGGCACTTCAGAGGCTGCAGACAGCTTCACAGTGCTGCACTCAACCATCTGGGCCACCAGGGAGGCCCCTGTTTCTTAATTTTTATCTCCCTAATACTGCATTATAATCCTATGATGAACTATATCCATGCATAATAAAACTGGAGTAGAATACCCCACCCCCACCCCCACCCCCGTGGCGCAGGCGTTTGAGCACGAAGCTGTCCACAACCTCTGCAGTGCGGGATCGATCCCGGCCATCTGTCAAGGGTCCCACATGGTGAGCAGACCTCTCCTGTCTCGCCCGCTGCTCCCCTCAGCAGTGTATTTCGTCAGTCTGCCTGTTCTGTTCCACGCTCTGTCTCTGGTGAATCCTCTCACCCTCCTGCGAATCTGGCCTGTGCCCCAGTTCTTGTATAAATAAATAAATAAATCTTTTTTTAAAAAGGCAAAAAAAAAAACTGGAGTAGAATAACATAAGTCAAAGAATACGTGATATGTTTAAAGTTGCATTTCCTATAACTGAAAATCCTGGCATTTCTGACCTAATGATAATAAAAACACTTGACTATCGTATGTAGATTTCCTTTCCTGGACAAAGAATGATAGTGATCAGACAAAATACCCAGTTTT